TTTAAAGTACAAATGTAAATACATTTGTAAAAATACAAGAATTTTTAGTTCTGGTAAAAGGAAAGGGGGGAAGGGAGCTGTATTTATTTAGCATCTCCAATTAAAGACAGGCCAAAGAAAGACTGGACTGAAGATGTGACTGATTCTTTTAATTATGTCATATTGCCTTCTTGGAAAAAGGAAGTTGGCATTCTTCACTGACTGCTGACATGTGCCAGGCTAGGACTTCCCAAAGTTAGTTCTGTTGACAACTGGTTCTTTTATTTTTAGTTTATTAAGATGAGGTCTTACTCTGCTGCCCAGGCTGGAGTGCTATGGCACAATCTCAATTCACTGCACCCTCCACCTCCTGAGTTCAAGCAATCCTCTCACCTTTGCCTCCCTAGTAGCTGGGACTACAGACGCATGCCACCATGCCCAGCTAATTTTTGTGTTTTTTGTAGAGACGGGGTTTCACCATGCTGACCAGACTGGTCTTGAACTCCTGGGCTCAAGTGATCCACCCACCTTGGCCTCCCAAAGTGCTGGAACTACAGGTGTGAGCCACCAAACCTGGCCAACAACTGGTGCTTTGAGATGCTCCTGGTGTCTAGGCAGTAATCACAAAGTGCCCAGATCATAAGTGCACATACAGTTTGATGAATAGTTTGCTGTGTATCCTTGTAGACTTTATTCTATACTTATTCAGAGGTACATATTTGTGTATATGTTTTTATAAAACATGGGATTCAGTTGTACAAAGCAGTTTGCAATCTGTTTCTTTTATTTAACAACATGTTGTAGATATTTTTCCACATCAAGTTATGTAGACTTAATAACTGTTAATGTGCCATGGTATAATTTACAATTATTTAATAAATAATGAGGCTGAATTTCATTTCCTGTTATTAAGCCATTCATATTTATTCTTCTTTCAGCAAGTTTCTGGTGTTTCAGGAACACTATGAAGGACTGTGGCAGGGTTCTTGAGGATGAGGGAGCTTGTTTATCTAGGCAACTCCTGGGAGCCATTATAGAGGGAGTCACACTTCCCAGTATCCTGGAAGGGGGCTTGTGATGGATGAGGTGCCAAAGTAGAGGCTACTGTGAAAGATGGAACTCTGGGGCACTATACTGGGGGAGCATTCTGCCAGCTCTAGCCCCAACTTGAGTCCATGTTGGCAGATCTGTTGAAGGAGAGGGAAGAATGGAAAGGAGACGGTAAGCAAAAGAACCCCATGACTGGTGTGATTCTTGACAACTTTCTGGAAAGTTGGTTGTAGGCACTCTTGAGGGGTAAACTTGGGGACAAGATGGTCTACTATTTCTCATGTGGGGATTTGTCTTCCATTGATACCTTAATTGGATATGAGTGCTGCTTTAGGAACAAACATATCAGTTTCCTTTTTTTTTTTTTTTTTGAGATAAAGTCTTGCCCTGTCACCCAGGCTAGAGTGCAGTGGCATGATCTTGGCTCACTGCAACCTCCACCTCCCAGGTTCAAGTGATTCTCCTGCTCCAGCCTCCACAGTAGCTGAGACTGCAGGCATGCACCACCACACCCAGCTAATTTTTGTGTTTTTAGTAGAGATGGGGTTTTACCATGTTGTCCAGGCTGGTCTTGAACTCCTACCTCAGGTGATCCACCCGCCTTGGCCTCCCAAAGTGCTGGGATTACAGGCATGAGCCACTGCACCCGGCCTCAGTTTCTTTATAGAAGCGTATTTGGAGTTACTCAATCTGAGTTGGAAGGGATGCTAAAAAACTATATAATACAGACTCGCATTTTAGTAAATAGGGAATCTGAAATTTGCCCCAGTTCCACTTCTGTAGCATCTGTTTAATTTCAGAAGTGACATTAAAGTTTTAGTCTTAGTTCAATTCTAAAAATTGTCTGTACGTCGCTGTGCAACCTGCCTCCCGCTGTATGTTGAAAAGGATAGAATCTGCACTATTGTGCTACGTATTAGGGGTTTACTCTGCCAAGTACATGCCAATTACTTTACATATATTCTTACTAAAGCCTTACGATAACTTGAAAAAGGGTTTTCTTATCCCCCTTTTGCAGATAAGTTCAAGCTTTGGAGGTCTTTGAGTTTCAGTCCGAAGCAACAATTCAGTATGAAAAAAAAATTCGTGTATAAATAAGAAATTCAAATATTGTGAGACTTTGAAATTCTTTAAAGTCATACACAGTGACATTGCCATCACCTACCTATGTTTGCGGCCCATGACATCACATTTATGCAATGGTCACATTTCCTTTTAATGATATTTCCATTAGTGATGCATGGACCTTTTGCTAGTGAGTAGAACCAAGAAACAGAATATTCTTTGGGAGGTAATAAAATATAAAAGGCACCTTTTAAAAACAAATGATAAATGTTTTGCAGAAAAGAAAACTTAACATTAAAAATGACTAGGCCAAGTGCAGTGGCTCACACCTGTAATCCTAGCACTTTGGGAGGCTGAGGCCAGCAGTCACCTGGGAGGTCAGGAGTTTGAGAACAGCCTGGCATGGCAAAACCCCGTCTCTACTAAAAATACAAAAATTAGCCAGATGTGGTGGCAGGCACCTATAGTCCTAGCTACTTGGGAGACTGAGGCAAAAGAATCATTTGAACCCAGGAGGTGGAGGTTGCAGTGAACCAAGATTGTGCCACTGCAGTCCAACCTGGGCGACAGAGCAAGACTCCATCTAAATAAATAAATAAAAAATAAATAAAAATGGCTAATTTTACATTACCTATGTAGTATTCTTGCCAGAAATGTTAAACTGCATGTAATATTGAGGAAATAACCAGAAAAATTCAGAATGTAGGGCATTCTGATTCTATTTAATTAATTCTAATTGGCTTAGACTCTTTTGAAAAAAATAAAAAACCAAAAAACAATGACCTAATGATATAGTGTAGCTCTGTGTCCCCACCCAAATCTCATGTTGAATTGTAAATCCCCAATGTTAGGGGAGGGACCTGGTGGGAGGTGACTGGATCATGGGAGTGGATTTCTCCCTTGCTGTACTGGTGATAGTGAGTGAGTTCTCACTAGATGTCATTATTTAAAAGTGTGTAGCACCTCCCCCTTTGCTCTCTCTTCTGCCGACCATGTGAAGATGTGCTTGCTTCCTCTTTGCCTTCTGCCATGATTGTAAGTTTCCTGAGAACTCCCCATGTGTGCTTTCTGTACAGCCTGCAGAACCATGAGCCAATTGAGTCTCTTTTCTTTATAAATTGTCCAGTCTCTGGTAGTTTTGTTGGTTTGTTTGTTTTTGTTTTTGTTTTGAGACAGAGTCTCGCTCTGTTGCCCAGGCTAGAGTACAGTGGCGCAATCTCAGTTCACTGCAAGCTCTGCCTCCCAGGTTCACGCCATTCTCCTACCTCAGTCTCCCGAGTAGCTGGGACTACAGGCACCCACCACCACTCCCGGCTAATTTTTTGTATTTTTAGTAGAGACTGGGTTTCACCGTGTTAGCCAGGATGGTCTTGATCTCCTGACCTCGTGATCTGCCTACCTCAGCCTCCCAAAGTGCTGGGATTACAGGCGTGAGCCACTGTACCTGGCCTTTTTTTTTTTCCCTCAAGACAGAGTCTCACTCTGTTGCCCAGGCTGGAGTGAAGTGGCGTGATCTCAGCTCACTGCAACCTCTGCCTCCCAGGTTCAAGCGATTCTTGTGCCTCAGCCTCTGAAGTAGCTGAAATTACAGGCATGAGCCACCATGCCCAGCCAACAAAGACTCTTGAGAGAACTATAAAAAGTATTGAAGCATTTGTTAGAGTACTTAACACACTTTTGTTAAGTGAGTTAGTAGTTTTAGGTTTGGTTCAGCTGAGATTTTTACCTTTAATTTGGAATTCTATTTTCAAATTAAAACAAAAAGCAAAAAATCTAATATTTAAAATAGCAGATTATAGAGGTAGGAGGTAGTTTTCCCAGCTAAACAGATTATTAACCTTTACTGCGAATTTATATGGACACATAACATATTAAAGAAACTTTTTAAATGTGTTAATCTTTTAGATTTCTGAGCCAATGAAAATATTCCTTGCCTGGAAATTAGCTGTAAGCCCTTATCAATGTAGTTTTCTGACTAAGTGTTACTACTTTCCAACTAAATTATAAATCTCTTAAAGGCATCGTAGGTGTGTTTATCTTTTTCTATCTCCAGCACCTGGCATAGTTGCTTGACTGTGTGGTACTGTATGTTGCTGAGTGGCAGATCTAATATTTTTTAAAGATCACGATATTCTCAGCTTGAATGTCCTTATCAACAGAGCTTGTGGTCTTTATTTAAGTGGGCAGGTTTTCATTGTGTTTCAACTTGGCCAAAGGAAGCTTTTCAAGTTTTCAGAGGAGTAGCTTCTTACTAGCTTGTAACATTGGTCAGTCATTGTTGAGAGAGCCCTAACTTTGGCAACTTTATTAGGAAGAACACAAGATGAAAACTAGGGACAAATTCACTATACAGTAGTCCCCCACCTTTTCCTCAGGAGATACAGTCAGGGACCTCCGGTGGATACTTGAAACCACAAATAGTACTGAATCTATACTGCTTTTTTTATACATACATAACTATGATAAAGTTTATAAATGAAGCATAGTAAGAGATAAACAACAACAGTAATAAAATAACAGTTATCTGAGTGTAGTTTCTCTTTCTCAAAATATCTTACTATACCCTACTCACCTCTCTTCCTATGACCTATTGATCTGATAACCAAGATGGCTACTATGTGTCCAAGGGGAGGTATCTTATACAACATGGAATGCTGGACAAAGGAATGATTGACTTCCTGGATGGGACAGAGTGGGACACTGCAGGATGGCAAGAGATTTCATCATGTTACTCAGAACATTGCAGTTTAAAACTTAAGAACTGCTTATTTCTGGAATTTTCCATTTGATATTTTCGTACCATACTTGACGTTGGGTAACTGAAACTGCAGAAAGTGAAACTGGATAAGAAGGGACCACTGTACAACTTTTATTTCTAAAGAACTGTAAAACTTATATGTTTGCAGATCAGGGAGCAGAGAAACATGAAGGAACAGGTCAGTCCTCGGGGATCACTGATCAAGAAAAGGAGTTATCCACCAATGCTTTCCAAGCTTTCACAGTAAGAAATGGCTTCTCTTAATCTGCTCAAGTTGTAGGGTTCTGTCAAATAAGAATCTTTTCATAGTGAATTTTTAAATTTACAATTTTTACTCTGTAATAATTCAAGAGTTAGAGATAAGTAGGTTTATTTAATTTTAAAAATAAATGTTTTAGAGTTTAAATATGGTAAAAGAAATGAGAGTAATTGGAGCCATTCTCAAGTTTTTGTGTTTTTGTAAACATGTTTTAACTCATATACTGTTGTTTTTAAGTCTTTTAAATTTAGATTTGTAAGTATGTGGATCAGTCTTTTCATTTCACTATGCCGTTCAATTCTTTATTTATTTATTTATGAAAATATCAGATTCAAAAATTATTTTCTTGAAGGTACTTTAAAATGGAACCCCAAAACTTTATTGGCAGAATTTTAACTTTTCTGACATTAAACAATATGAAAGAAAACCTTATTTGGTTATCAGGTTACGTGCATGTAAGCAGAAGAACTTAATGCTTGGGTATTCGAAATATATTTACTAGAAAATAAAATTTGGGCCGGGCGCGGTGGCTCAAGCCTGTAATCCCAGCACTTTGGGAGGCCGAGACGGGCGGATCACGAGGTCAGGAGATCGAGACCATCCTGGCTAACACGGTGAAACCCCGTCTCTATTAAGAAATACAAAAAACGCCGGGCGCGGTGGCTCACGCCTGTAATCCCAGCACTTTGGGAGGCTGAGGCGGGCGGATCACAAGGTCAGGAGATCGAGACCACGGTGAAACCCCGTCTCTACTAAAAATACAAAAAATTAGCCGGGCGCGGTGGCGGGCGCCTGTAGTCCCAGCTACTCAGGAGGCTGAGGCAGGAGAATGGCGTGAACCCGGGAGGCGGAGCTTGCAGTGAGCCGAGATCGCGCCACTGCACTCCAGCCTGGGCGACAGAGTGAGACTCCGTCTCAAAAAAAAAAAAAAAAAAGAAATACAAAAAAATAGCCGGGCGTGGTGGCAGCGCCTGTAGTCCCAGCTACTCGGGAGGCTGAGGCCGGAGAATGGCGTAAACCCGGGAGGCGGAGCTTGCAGTGAGCTGAGATCCGGCCACTGCACTCCAGCCTGGGTGACAGAGCGAGACTCCGTCTCAAAAAAAAAAAAATAAAGAAAGAAAATAAAATTTGGAGTGATTATATTACCTTTCTTGACTAGCCTCAGCCATTAATACCCTGCTAGCACTATGTGTATATACCAACATATTTATCATACCAATATATGTGTCTTATATGTGTCAATGTCAGGGTTTTGAGTCTTAGGAAGTAAATATCCACAGTTTCTTAACTGACATGAATATTGCTTTATCTAGTGACTTTGATTAGTATATGTAGGGAAACTACATCTTTCTTTTTAAGAACTTTTAAGATAAAGATGAATGAAATGTATTTGGAATGATATACTGTTCTTAAAGCTGGTATGTAATTTTGTGTGTGTGTGTGTGGTTTTTTTTTTTTTAGTCTGGAAATTATGATGCCTGTCTACAACACCTTGCCTGTCTACAAGATATAAACAAAGATGATTATAAAATAATTTTGAATACAGCAGTAGCTGAGTTTTTTAAAAGTAACCAAACAACAACAGATAATTTGAGACAAACACTTAACCAGCTGAAGAATCAGGTGATACACAAATGAATTTAACTATAAAAAATATTGTTCTGTTCTTTAATTTATCAAATACAAATAGTTAAGGAAAATAAATGTGATTTGTGTGGTATTTCTTGTCTGAAACATTTGTTAGCATTAATTTTATTTCCATAAAATTATTATTCCAGGAGATAAAAGGTATGTTGTGTGATTTTTTTTAAATTGGGGTTTTAATTAACTTGAACAGAATAGACTAATATACCAAATTCGAATGAGCTTTGAAATTTTGAGAAAGAAAGAACTATATGAAGAAGTTTAGCTATGGAGATATATCTTGTTTATGATTACAAAAATATGATTAATCCTAATGTCAAGTTGTTTTCGCATTTGGATCAGGAGATGATTGATTAAATAGAAGATATTCTGCTTTATATCTGGTTTGGGGCTTGAATTGCGGATTGGTCTGGTTATAACCCAATGTTTATTGAATCCTGGGGCTAGACTTTTGGTATTCAAGAGGGCTGATAACAGTGATGATGCTGATAGGATCAGCTAGCATATGTTAAGTGTTCACTGTGTGACAGGGCACTGCCAAGAACCTTGGATGCAACTTCTCATTTGTTCTTCTCAGTAGCCCTGTGAAATAACTATATAATTTTTCTTATTTTAAAAAAGGCCAAGGCACAGGTAGCTGTATAAATTGTCCAAAGACACAAAGTTTTTGAGTAGTAAGAGCTACATGAACTCAGTTGGGTTTAACTTTAGAGCCTGTAATTTTAGTTACTGTTTCATGCTGTTAGGGAGTCATGAGATCTTGCCTGTAATCATGAGTACCACGATACTGTATCGTATCACCCTGAAGTGTGACACAGGTAGAAGCAAGTGGTTCCTTCAGGCTCTCTATAAACCTTTATAGGCATAAAGTAATTTTTAAACCCCATTAAAATTCAAAAATGAGGCCAGGCGCGGTGGCTCACACCTGTAATCCCAGCACTGTGGGAGGCCGAGGCGGGCGGATCACGAGGTCAGGAGATCGAGACCATCCTGGCTAACATAGTGAAACTCCGTCTCTACTAAAAATACAAAAAATTAGCCGGGCGTGATGGTGGGTGCCTGTAGTCCCAGCTACACGGGAGGCTGAGGCAGGAGAATGGCGTGAACCCGGGAGGCGCAGCTTGCAGTGAGCCAAGAGCATGCCACTGCACTCCAGCCTGGGTGACAGAGTGAGACTCCGTCTCAAAAAAAAAAAAAAAAATTCAAAAATGAGAATAACAGCTACCATTTATTGAATGCATACTTGGTGCCAAATTCTGTATTAAGTGCTTTTTATGCCTTATCTCATATAATCCTCACATTCAACTCTTGAGGCAGTAGGTGCTTATTATCTCAGTTTTAAAACCAGGGTTTAGGAAGTCTAATTTAAATTTATACAACTAGGAAGGGGAAGACCAGATTTAAACCAGGCCTTCTGACTCTTGCGCCTGTTCTCCTACCTGTCTCAGTCTTCATAAATTCATATGTCCTCACGTTTCCTCATTACTCCAGTATTATTACTGATGACTTTATCTGGTGTTCTGGAATCAAAGGAAAAATGGTGCTTACTGGTAATCTAGTACATGCACCCTATGACCCATAGACAGTTTCTTCCAGGACAGATTTGTTTGGTTTTTGAGAACAAGTTCAGCTTTTAAACTTTTTTTGAATAAGCAATTCCTGCAAACTTCCAGTTAGGCCAAAAAAACTTTGTGAAGTTCTTTCACTAGCTTTTATTGTTTATAAGGTTTGTTAGGGCCTTCCAACTCTTGAGTTTCCTAGAAGTGTTTGTACTTGTGGTTACTGGCTTCTTTAAATCATACTTCTGTTCGCAGTCACATGTCTTGGGCACAGTGACATACTTTTTCAACCTATTCCATTTTAATTAACAAACGTCTAATTTCACTTAATGAGTAGTTTTTCTTTTGGCTGGAGCAATTACTAGACTATTTAGGTGAGTCATAGAATATGTGGCAAAGTTATTCATGTGATAATTATTCAACCATTGCTGAATCCAAAACGTCATAGTTTATCTAAAAGCTTTTGTGGCTAAACTCTTAACTCATTCTCTCTCCGTTACCTAACTACAGAAAGAGTTGCCTTTGGAAATTGAGTTTTCACTGTTTGAAGATACTGTTTTTAATCTCTTTAAGATAGTGACTTGATAAGTGAAGATTTTAAAGAGTTCCCAAACTCATTGAGATGCACATGTTGTTGGTCAGCTAAGACCACTTGCTAACGTTTGAATCGTGTCAAGCTTAACCACATGGGTGATTGATGTCTGTTGAAGTCCAGTTACAAAATTTACAAATCACTGTGTGTTGTGAACCTTCAGGTTCCTTGCCATTAGTCAAACCAAGGCTGTTAAATCCATGTACTGTATATCAGAGTTCTAAGGAAGTGTTGGTCTTAGAATTAATTACTTAATATTGAACAATAATTTATTGCAATCTTCATAATGGCAAAGTTTAGTTTTAATACAGGTAGACTTCCAATTTCATGTGTTATATGGAATTGTGCAATGGTTGTAAAGCTTGATTAAAATTTAAAAACCTGTTGCTACAGCTTACAGAAGGGGGTATACAGTTTCAGAATGCAAAGTGTCATGCTTTTTGTTTTTTCTTTTGGTGTCAGTTACGGATGTTAGCCTTTAGTGAAGCCCATAAAAGCCTTTTCTAACCATCATGTGTGCAACAATATATTTTTGTTATTGAGTACTTTAAAAAATCTGTCCTTTTTTATGGGAACAAAACCTGAAAATATACTTTCTAGCCCTATGGTCTTGGGTAAGATAATTAAGTTTTCTGTGCTGATTTCCTTATGTATAAAGTGGAAATGAAATTATTTATGTCCTTGGCCAGGTGCGGTGGCTCATGCCTGTAATCCAAGCACTTTGGGAGACCGAGGTGGGCAGATCGCCTGAGGTCAGGAGTTCAAGACCAGCCTGGCCAATATGGTGAAACTCCATCTCTACTAAAAATACAAAATTAGCCAGGTGTTGTGGCGCGTGCCTGTAGTCCCAGCTACTCAGGAGGCTAAGGCAGGAGAATCGCTTGAACCCCGGAGGTGGAGGTTGCACTGAGCTGAGTTTGTGCTACTGCACTCCAGCCTGGGTGACTCCATCTCAAAAAAAAAAAAAATTATCTATGACCTTGTGGTATGGTCAGGATTAACCTGTAAAAATTTTAACATAGCACGTCTGGCACATGGTAAATAGTTAACTATTTTCATTTTGTTTTGTTTGATACAGAGTTTCACTATATTGCCCAGGCTGGAGTGCAGTGATGTAATCTTGGCTCACTGCAGCTTCTGCCTTTTGGATTCAAGCAAGTCTCCTCCCTCAGCCTCCTGAGTAGCTGGGACTACAGGCGCGTGCCACCACACCCAGCATTTTTTTTTTTTTTTTTTGTATTTTTAGTTGAGACGGGGTTCACCATGTTGACTAAGCTGGTCTCGAACTTCTGACCTCAAGTGTTCTGCCTGCCTTGGCCTCCCAAAGTGCTGGGATTACAGACATGAGCTGCCATGCCTGGCCAGCTGTTATTAACATTTAAATTTTACCTAAGTTTTTACAAAATGAAATCAAACTATGAATATTACGTGACATTTTTATGGGAAAGGTCATTTTGAGTTTGTTGCGTGCCTGGTGTAGCCTCTTGTAGGTCGTGAGACTAGGAGGTGGGAATCCTGCACAGAAGCCCTGTTACCAATTGAAACAGGGAAGATAGCTTCACAGTGACAAGGAAGATAATTGTCTAGCCATGTGCTGGGTACTTAATAAAGTCTCATCAAAACATTTTAAAATTTTATTATGTGTGGCATAGAAGAATGAAAATAATTTTTAGTATGTGAGAGTAATTAAAATCTAAAGATAGTGTTGAAAGTATGGAAAAATTCAGAATAAGAATGTTGGCCTGTGTTCCTTTTTATTCATGTGAATTATTTCACTTTTGCTTTTTATTTCCTTAATGTTGTTAAAATATAATCTCTGTTGATTGCTTTATAGGTCCACTCAGCTGTTGAAGAAATGGATGGATTAGATGATGTTGAAAACAGCATGTTGTACTATAATCAAGCAGTCATTCTTTATCATCTGCGGCAGTATACAGAAGCCATATCAGTTGGTGAAAAACTTTATCAGTTCATAGAGCCTTTTGGTATGTTATCTGTCAAGTCAAAAATTTCCCTATCTTCCCTATACTTGCAAAGTTCTCTGGTACTTTTACCTAGATAACCTAAATCTGAGAAGTCCATGTCAATATTCAAAGAAAAAAAGAAAAACCGTATCAGCTTTGCTTAATGGTTAGAAAAGATAAAAATATAATCCAGGTTTTCTTTGAGTGTCCTTTCCCAAATTTTGAAGATAACTGTTAAAAATGCTGTTGGAAAGTATTGAAAACACTTAGTGATGTTTGTGGGGGTTTTGCTGTTTAAACGCTATTTTATTATACCTGATCCTTTCTTTCTTTAGTACGTTAAGGAAGTAGCATTTTGGAATGTTAGGGGACAGTGAGGTATTTCATTTTTGCCTATTGCCTAACTGAAATTTTTGGCAGTAGTTATGGAGTAGGAAGTATAGAACATTAGTTTTTTTGCTATCTTAATTCGCTTACTAACCTCAAGGAGGAGTAGCAAGAAAAGTAAGGGCAAAGGAAAAAAGAAGAGCAAAGGAGAAAGCTGGACCCAGGAAATGGTTGTTAGAGAGGGCTGTTGGTTCCTAGCCCACAAGCAGTCAAATTCCATTTGTGAGTTACATTTTTGTCTTTTTTTTTTTTCATGATTGCTTTCTTTTACATCCAAAACACAAATGAGAATTCCTAATTTATCAGGAACGCCTGATTGCTGATGTGGTTACCACAGGACAAGTGGTGGGGTGTGATAGCACTCTGTGGTGCTTTGGGAGGAGGTAGAGAGTCCCCTTTTGCTGACAGTGGTTGAACAGCTGATTACTATGGCTCCAAAGAGCCATTTTGAGGTGCTTCTCTTCTTTCCCTCAATCCTGAGAGCTTGGTAGCTGGACAGGCTGGGCAGGAGAGCCAGCAGTGGTAAGGGATTATGTAATTAGTGACCAGGTCCTTCTGTATAGCTAGAAATCAGAGTTACACTTTTAGGACTGTACACATTTTTCTATAAAGTTACTGTTATTGATGCTTCTTAGAATTTCCGGAATTCAGCCAGGTGCGGTAATCCCAGCACTTCAGGAGGCCAAGGTGGGTGGATCATCTGAGTTCGAGACCAGCCTGACCAACATGGGGAAACCCCATCTCTACTAAAAATTAGCCGGGCGTGGTGGTGCATGCCTGTAATCCCAGCTACTCGGGAAGGCTGAGGCAGGAGGATCACTTGAACCCGGGAGGCGGAGGTTGCAGTGAGCTGAGATCGCACCACTGTACTCCAGCCTGGGCAACAAGAATGAAGCTTGTTCTCCAAAAAAAAAAAAAAAAAAAAAGAATTTCCAGAATTCATGAAATCCTGTTAATCTGCACTGTGGCTGAACAGAATATATTAATAGTAATCAACTCGTCAGTATTCACATCCATTTTTCTTTGAAAATATTATGGCTTTTTTTTTTTTTTTTTAACTTTTACTGCTTGGATTTTTTAAAGACTATTTTTTAGAGAAGTTTTAGATTTACAGCAAAACCAAGAGGAAAGTACAGAGATTTCTCGTGTGTCCTCTGCCCCAACACATCCATAGCCTCTCTCATTACCATTATCCCTCAACAGTGTGGTGCATTTGTTATAATTGATAAACCTACATTGATACCTCATAGTCATGCAAAGTTCATAATTTACGTTAGGGTTCACTCTTGGTGTTGTATGTTCTATGTGTCTGGACAAATGTATTCATTATAGTATCATACAGAGTATTTTTCACTGCCCTAAGAATTCTGTGTTGTGCCTGTTAATTCCCTTTCTACCTATAACCACTGATCTTTTTGCTCTCTCTATAGTTTTGCCTTTTCTACAGTGTCAAACTTAGAATCATAACTACTCAGCTTCTTCCTTTTTTTTTTTTGTTTTTTGAGATGGGGTCTCTTTCTGTTGCCCAGGCTAGAGTACAATGGTGTGATCTCCACTCACTGCAACTTCTACCTCTCAGGTCCAAGTGATCCTCCCACCCCAGCCTCTTGAGTAGCTGGGATTACAGTGAACGCGCCACCACACCCAGCTAATTTTTGTGTTTTTTTGCAGAGACTGGGTTTCGCCATGTAGCCAAGGCTGGTCTAGAACTCCTGGGCTCAAGCAATCCACCCACCTTGGCCTCCCAATGTGCTGGGATTACAGGTGTGAACCACCGTGCCTGGCCAGTACTCAGATTCTTCATACAACATATACTAATTGAGGACATGAGCCAATACTGAGGGCCAGACACTGTTCTGGGTCTAGAGATAATGCAGTGAATGAAATACAGAAACTCTTTACCCCCGTTAAGCTTCTATTCTAATGGGAGAGAAAGCAACATAATAAAAAAACAGCCATCCCTTGGTATTCAATGGAGATTGGTTCTAGGACACCCTTCCTCAGATACCAAAATCTGCTGATACTTAAATCCCTTATATAAAATGGTGTAGTATTTACATATAGTCTGTGTACATCCTCCTGTACATTTAAAATAATCTCTAGATTACTTATAATACCCAATACACTGTATATGCTATGAAAATGTTTTCATACCGTATTGTTTAGGGAACAATGACGGGAAAAATGTCTGTACATGTTCATTGCAGATGCAACAACTCTTTTTTTTTCTTTTAATATTTTCAATCTGAGATTGGTTGAATCTGTGGGTGCAGAACCCACAGACACAGGGGGCTGGCTGTATATTGAATGTTGTGAAGTAAAGCTAAAATTGAATGAGAATATAGAGATTGAGTGGGGATCTTTTAAGTAAGGTAATCAAGCAAGGCCTGGGATGAGATGATATTTGAAATGAGACCTGAATAAAGAAAGGACGTTAGCCTTGCTGCTGTTTAGAGAGAAAGCATTCCCACTGGAGGTAATGGGATATGGAGAAGACCTGAAGTCAGAGGCTGTATTTGGTGAGAGCAATAGCAGCAAGGTCATCGTGACTGGAGCTAGGTGGGGAGGATAATAGGAAATAAAATCAGAAGTAGCCACAGGCTCAAAAAGTTTTGGATATTGAGGCTGGACACAGTGGCTCATACCTGTAATCCCAGTACTTTGTGAGGCTAAGGTGGGTGGATCACTTGAGCTCAGGAGCTTGAGACCAGCCTGGGCAACATAGTGAAACCCTGTGTCTATGAAAAAATTAGCCAGGCATGCTGGCACATGTTTGTGGTCCCAGCTGCTCAGGAAGCTAAGGTGAAAGGATCTCTTGAGCCTTGTAGGCAGAGATTGCAGTAAGCCAAGATTGCAACACTGCACTCCAGCCTGGGTGACAGAGTGAGACACCATCTCAAAAACAAAAAAAAAGTTTTGGATTTTGGAGGATTACAAATTTCAGATTTCAACATTTCAGGTTAAGAATGCTTAACCTCTATTGGAATTCAGGTTTCTTTTTTTTTTTTTTTTTTTTTTTTTTTTTTGAGACGGAGTCTCGCTCTGTCGCCCAGGCTGGAGTGTAGTGGCCAGATCTCAGCTCACTGCAAGCTCCGCCTCCCGGGTTTACGCCATTCTCCCGCCTCAGCCTCCCGAGTAGCTGGGACTACAGGCGCCCGCCACCTCGCCCGGCTAAGTTTTTGTATTTTTTAGTAGAGACGGGGTTTCACCGTGTCAGCCAGGATGGTCTCGATCTCCTGACCTCGTGATCCGCCCGTCTCGGCCTCCCAAAGTGCTGGGATTACAGGCTTGAGCCACCGCGCCCGGCCTGGAATTCAGGTTTCTTTCCGCCTAAAGTAATTTCCTCATTACATGTGCTAGTGTTTAGTAGATATTTTCCCAAGGAAGATTTAATCACTGGAATTTCTGAAATGAGAGACCTTGCAATGCCTAATAAAATGACAGTGTTGACATTGCAAGTTGCTCTCATTCATAGCTCTAGGTGATATGCATTCATTTGAGTAAAGATTTATGCTTTGCTATTTAAAGCTTTGTATCCTTGTTTGGAGGGTGGTCTGAGATGTGTGCTTTACTTTAGATTGTGACTATTCTTTTCCTGTGTTTTTTTCTCCCAGAAGAAAAATTTGCCCAAGCAGTGTGTTTTTTGCTTGTAGACCTGTATATATTGACCTACCAAGCTGAGAAAGCTTTGCATCTTCTTGCTGTCCTAGAAAAAATGATTTCACAGGGTAACAATAACAAAAATGGAAAGAATGAGGTGAGTGTTTAAAGGTAATCAGACTAAAATCTAAAATATGATTAATTCTCTCTGCTTGTTGGTTTACTGGATTAAAAAGGAGAAAACAATTAAAATATGATTAATATTTGTGATTATGAACTATTAACAGCTTTAAGATACAATTTGCATATTATAAGCTTTACCATTTTAAAGTGTAGAGTTTAGTAGTTTTGAGTGTACTCGCATTTGTACAACCATCACTACTATCTAATTTCAAAATATTTTTATCACCCCAAAAAGAAACCCTGTACCATTTGCAGTCACTCCCCATTTCCCCCTTTCCTGAGCCCTAAGCAGCCATTAATCTACTTACTGTCTCTGGATTTACCGTCTGGACATTATATACGAATGGAATCATAATATGCAGCCATTTGTGACTGGTTTTTTTTACTATGCTTTCAAGCTTCATCCATATTGTAGCATATACTTTTTTTTTTTCATGTACTTCATGCCTTTTGTGGCTGAATAATATTCCATTCATTATATGAATATGCCACATTTTAAAAATTTCTTTATAAGTTGGTGGACATTTGGGTTCTTTTCTACTTTTTGGTTATTATATATAGTGCTTCTATGAACATTCATGTAAAAATTTTGTAGGGATATATGTTTTCAATTATCTTGGATATAATATTTAGGAGTAGAATCACTGGGTTATATGGTATCTGAACTCTATATTTAACCCTATACAAGACTGTTACAAAGTGATTGCACTTTGAATCAGTTGAGCCCAGGAGTTTGACATGAGCATGGGCAACACAGGGAGACCCCTGTCTCTATGAAAAATTAAACTTAGCAAATAAATAAAACCAGCTCATCGTTACGTTATGTTCATTACGTTCTACTGTGAGCTTCTCATGAGTAGAGCTTCCTGTCACCCACTCTAGACTACTGAACCTCAGTCTCTAGGAGTGGGACCTGGGATTCTGCATTTTTTAAAGACAGGGTCTTACTCTGCCACCTCAGGCTGGAGTATAGTAGCACAGTCACGGCTCACTGCAGCCTTAATCTCCTGGGCTCAGGCAATCTTCCCACCTCAGCTTCCTGAGTAGCTCGGACTGCAGGTACATGCCACCATGCCCAGCTAATTTTTGTATTTGTAGAGATGGGATTTTGCCATGTTACTCAAGCTGGTCTCGATCTCCTGGGCTCAAGTGATCCGCCCACCTCAGCCTTCCAAAGTGCTGGGATTACAGGCGTGAACCACCATGCCCCACAAATTCTACATTTTGAAAATGCTCTCTAGGTAATTTAGGTTACCTCACTTGGAAATCACTGATTTAAATTGTGGTCAAAAATATTTAATTTTTATAAACTTTGTCTCATCACCCTGCAGACTGGTAATAACAACAACAAAGATGGATCTAATCATAAAGCTGAAAGTGGAGCTCTAATAGAAGCTGCAAAATCAAAGATACATCAGGTAGTGTAAATTTTAAAGGGGGGCAATACATCACATACATTTAATTGTAGTTAGGACAAATGAAGCAATGAGATAGATCATTGGAAGCAGTCAGTAATTCAAGGTGCATATATTTGTTTGTCTTTTGAAGTACTGTAGTTTAGAAGCACATTTATCGTAAATATATTTTGCTTAAGAGGATAATATAATTTATTTAAATTGCTCTATAAATAAAGTTTGAGAGAAATGGCATGGGAATGTACTGCATGATAAAATCAACTGGAATTTTAAAAAGTCGTCATTAGCCATGTGCAGAAGAGGACTGATAGGATTTTTGCCTGGAACTTGAGTATTTAAGTTTTTTGTTTGTTTTTTGAGACGGAGTCTCGCTGTGTCACCCAAGCTGCAGTGCAGTGGCACAATCTCGGGTCACTGCAACCTCCGCCTCCCAGGTTCGAGTGATTCTCCTGCCTCAGCCTTCCTGAGTAGCTGGGATTACAGTCGTGCGTCACCATACCTAGATAATTTTTTGTATTTTTAGTAGAGACAGGGTTTCACCATGTTGGCCAGGCTGGTCTCAAACTCCTGACCTCAGGTGATCCACCTGCCTCAGCCTCCCGAAGTGCTGGGATTACAGGCGTGAGCCACCACACCTGGCCAAGTTTTTATTCTACCATGATTTTAGTATTTTGAAGTATATTCAAAGAGTACAGTGAAAATAGCATATTTTCTAAAATTGCAAACTTGTTTTAGCAAGTAATTAGTATAACTATGTTGTAAATACATTGGGTTTAATTTTCCTAACTAGAAAGTAAAACTTTATGTAAATCTACCATAGTCTTAACGTAGTAACATTTTCACTTTGACAGTACAAAGTACGAGCTTATATCCAAATGAAGTCTCTGAAAGCATGTAAAAGGGAAATCAAGTCAGTCATGAATACAGCTGGAAATGTAAGTTTCTTCTGTACTTTTGTTTTTCAATTTGTGTCTTTCTTATTTAGACTATGGGTATTTGTCAGTTTTAAATAATTTATCTTAGTCTATTATATATACTGCCAGATATGAACCTTGCTGTTTTAAAGTTGGGAAGTAGTAATAATACTGTGTCTGTAGTTTAATTTTTTTTTACTTAAATTACACAAGCGCGGCGTGGTAACTGTAATAGCACTTACGAGACGGGCGGATCACGAGGTCAGGAGATCGAGACCATCCTGGCTAACATGGTGAAACCCCGTCTCTACTAAAATATACAAAAAAAAAAAACTAGCCGGGCGAGGTGGCGGGCGCCTGTAGTCCCAGCTACTCGGGAGGCTGAGGCAGGAGAATGGCGTGAACCCGGGAGGCGGAGCTTGCAGTGAGCTGAGATCCGGCCACTGCACTCCAGCCTGCGCTGCAGAGCAAGACTCCGTCTCAAAAAAAAAAAAAAAAAAAAAAAAAAAAAATTACAACAAGCACTTTTCTATTTTATGTAACCTTCAAAACCACCATTTTAAATAACTGCCTATTGTTCTGTGACTGGTTTATCACAATTCACTTAAACATTTTGCTAATATTAGACGTTTAGGTTATTTTAGAATTTTTTAGTATTATACTCAAAACATTTATGGCCAGGCATAGTGACTCACCTGTAATCCCAGCACTTTGGGAGGCTGAGGTGGGAGGATCACCTGAGGTCAGGAGTTCAGACCAGCCTGACCAACATGATGAGACCCTGTCTCTACTAAAAATACAAAAATTAGCCGGTGTGGTGGTGTGTGCCTGTAGTCCCAGCCACTGAGCCACTGGGGAGGCTGAAGTGGGAGGATCGCTTGAACCCAGGAAGCAGAAGTTGCAGTGAGCTGAGATTGTGCCATTGCAGGCTAGCCTGGGTGACAGGGTGAGACCATGTCCAAAAAAAAAAATTTTTTTTATTAAAAATCTAACAGTCAAGTTGTAGCCAAAACCTGCCCCTTCCAAATGACTTTTGGCTTGACAGTACCTTCAATTTAACTAGTACTAAAGTATTTGAGATAGAATTACTTCTTCCTTCCACTCCCTCCACCCTAATCTTTCATTGATAATTTTTAAGATGGTGTAGGAAAGAAACAAAATTGTGAACAATCTTGATGCTTCTAGGAAAACTATAAATTTAGAAGTATAAAGCCATGAGAAAATATGGTTAAAAATCTCAGGCAGGATCCAGATTAGTCACTGAGTTAGTTAATATGCTAGTGATTTTTTATAACAGTTGTGGCCTAGACCTGAGCCTAAGAGGGAGAAGCCCAGTGAGCCAGCCAGCCAGCCATTATCAGACCTTTTTTTTAAATGATAAAAGACATAATTCCTGCTTTAAAGGAGACCATAGTCATAGAGGAAAGACAAATGAAAATTATTATAATTCAGTGTAATAGTCATCCTAAATCAGCGAAAACTTCAGAAGGAATAGCTACCACTAAGGATAAGTGCTGAAAACCCTTGTTTCCTTAGTGACCAGAACTTTGGGATGGGCGGGAGGCAGAGCAAAGGATAAACTAGGATTTAGAAGGAAAGCCTGTTGCTAAATTAAGTGAATACATAGGCCAGGTGTGATGGCTGATGCCTGTAATCCCAGCTCTTCAGAAGGCTGAAGCAGGCAAATCACCTGAGGTCAGGGGTTCGAGACCAGCCTGGCCAACATGGGGAAGCCCCATCTCTACTAAAATAAAAAAATTAGGCCGAGCACGGTGGCTCACGCCTGTAATCCCAGCCCTTTGGGAGGCTGAGGCAGGCAGATCCCAAAGTCAGGAGTTTGAGACCAGCCTGACCAACATGGTGAAACCCCACCTCTACTAAAAATACGAAAATTAGCCGGGTGTGGTGGCATGCGCCTGTAGTCCCAGCTACTCAGGAGGCTGAGGCAGGAGAATTAGCCCGGCGTGGTGGCACATGCCTGTAATCCCAGCTACTCAGGAGGCTAAGGCAGGAGAGTTATTTGAACCCAGGAGGTGGAGGTTGCAGTGAGCTGAGATCGTGTCACTGTACTCCAGCCTGGGCGACAGAGCAAGACTCCGTCTCAGTCAATCAATCAATCAATCAGGATTCCAGATGTCCTCCTGGATGGATGTTTAGTCTCCAGAGCTCTCTGCATGCTTTTGTACTCTAAACAGGTAGTACTATCTAGAGGGTCCTCCACCATGAGGATTCTTAGGAGAAGTGAAAAGTGATCTACTATTCAAAATAATAATCTTGGAACAGCAAGATTAGTGCTTGCCAATAAGGCATTCTGTTGAAAAATTCTTCCATTTGTAGAATGACACTTTTTTTTTCCTATTTGGAAAAGTATTTGATTATTTATATCTCTGTAGGTGCTAATGAAAGGTGCATTTGTATCCTAGAAAGTAAGAAAGATCACCAGTCTCTCTAATAACTATTAAAATGAAGGACATAGGCCGGGCGCGGTGGCTCAAGCCTGTAATCCCAGCACTTTGGGAGGCCGAGACGGGCGGATCACGAGGTCAGGAGATCGAGACCATCCTGGCTAACACGGTGAAACCCCTTCTCTACTAAAAAAATACAAAAAACTAGCCAGGCGAGGTGACGGGCGCCTGTAGTCCCAGCTACTTGGGAGGCTGAGGCAGGAGAATGGCGTAAACCCGGGAGGCGGAGCTTGCAGTGAGCTGAGATCCGGCCACTGTACTCCAGCCCCGGCGACAGAGCAAGACTCCGTCTCAAAAAAAAAAAAAAAAAAAAAAAAAAAAATGAAGGACATAGATTGTGCTGTCAAATTGGTTTTCAGTTAGTCGTATAGTAGATGAACACAATCAGTTGATAATCTACAGACTGTATTTTTTTTTTTTTTTTGAAAACGGGCAGTCTCGCTCCTGGTCCGCCCCAGGCTGGAGCTGGCAGGGCGTATTTTTTTTTTTTTTTTGAGTTTTGTCAGTGGGCGTGATCTCGGCTCACTGCAAGCTCCGCCTCCCAGGTTCACGCCATTCTCCTGCCTCAGCCTCCCGAGTAACTGGGACTACAGGCGCCCACCATCATGCCCAGCTAATTTTTTGTATTTTTAGTAGAGACTGGGTTTCACCATGTTAGCCAGGATAGTCTCGATCTCCTGACCTCGTGATCTGCCCTCCTCGGCCTCCCAAAGTGCTGGGATTACAGGCGTGAGCCACCGTGCCTGGCCCAGACTGTATTCTTATACATATACATATACCTATATTTATTTTTTCAGGTGGACCCTTAGTAATTCTTTTTACAAAGTGCTCTCTGACAGGTTCAATTTTTTAGATTGTGAGAGCAATGAAACATTTAGAGACTATATAGTTTTTTGTGACTATGACTTAATTCATTTATGGTTTTGAACACATGTCAGTACAACAGTATAATTAAGATCTTACATTAGGCATCTGAAAACAAATTATCAGTAACTTTTATATTTTCTCTACAGTCTGCACCCTCTCTCTTTCTTAAAAGCAATTTTGAGTACTTACGAGGTAATTATCGAAAAGCTGTGAAGCTATTAAATAGTTCAAACATTGCTGAGCATCCAGGATTCATGAAAACAGGTAAAAGAAAATTGTGAAATTTTAACTTTTTTTGCCTGACTCTTCTACCCCTTCTTGCTTGTCCAGCTCCCAACACCCAGTCTTTCAAGTGATTTATGCTCATTTTTTAATGAAAATGTTTTAATATTTCTACTGCAAAAATTTCCATCCTGTTTCTACTTTAGAAGAAACCTCATTACTTCTTTCTTTTACTTTGCTTTCTTTCCTTTTTTTACTTTTCCGGGTTGGATCGCTTTCCTCCCCTCCCCGCATCCCCGCACCTTCTTTTTTTTTTTTTTAAATAGTCTTGCTTTGTCGCCCAGGCTGAGTGCAGTGCCACAATCACAGCTCACTACAGCCTCAACCTCCTGAGCTCAAGTGATCCTCCCACCTCAGCCTCCCAGGTAGCTGGGACTGTAGGCATGCACCATCATGCCTGGCTTACTTATTGTAGAAACAAGGTCTCATTATGTTGCTCAAGCTGATCTCAAACTCCTGGGCTCAAGTGATCCGCTGACCTCCGTCTCCCAAAGTACTGGGATTACAGGCGTGCACCACTGTGCCTGGCCCAGATAGCTTTTCTTTTTTCTTTAACCTGACTTGCCCGCCGTCCTGCCCTTCCTTCCTTCCTTCCTTCCTTCTTTCCCTTCTTTTCTTTTCTTTTCCCTCCCTCCCTTCCTTCCTTCTTTCCCTTCTTTTCTTGTCCCTACCTCCTTCACTTCCTTCCTTCCCTCTTTTCCCTTTCTTCCTTCCTTTCTTTTTTTTTTTTTGACAGAGTCTTGCTTGGTCGCCCAAGCTGGAATGCAGTGGTGACAACATCTTGGCTCACTGCAACCTCCACCTCCCTCCTGGGTTCAAGCGATTCTCCCACCTCAGCCTCCTGAGTAGCTGAGATTACAGGCACGCACCACATGCTCAGCTAATTTTTGCATTTTTTGGTAGAGACAGGGTTTTACCATGTTGCCCAGGCTGTATCAAACTCCTGACCTCAAGTGACCCACCCGCCTCAGCATCTCAAAGTGCTGGGATTACAGGCATGAGCCACCGCACCTGGCCCTTTAATTTTTTATAAGATCCTTGGACTTTTGCTTTATAAAGTAGACTTTTTTTCTTTCTTTCTTTCTTTCTTTTTTTTTTTTTTTTTTTTAGTGAATTACTCTCTGTACCAGAAAAGTGAGATCTTTTAAGTGAATAATATAATGTTTTTATTTCTTTCTGCCATAAAGGCAGTTAATAATATAATTTTTTTCTGTAACTTACTCAATTAATATGACTTATTTAGATCATTAACTATATCAAAAATCTTTCTATAAAGCTAGGAAAATAAGTATTATTACATATTCTTGCTTCTATTTAAAAAGTCTTATAAATCCCTTGATATTAATGGTAACATGAAAGTAAAAATTGTGACTGTCATTTAGGTTTATATCATCAGTATTTGATGGGGCAGGAGAAGGAAAATCACTTATTCAAGAAATGAGGATAAACTGTTGAAAATGTATGTTTTGCCTCAAGTTTAAAATGCAGACAATTAATATGTTTTTTGGTTTGTTTTGTCTTGTTTTGTTTTGGATTCTATTCAGATACACACACAGAATACACATGCAAACATACTCAGATCTTCCCCTATTTACCCTTTCAGTTCACAGGAGTGATGGAAGATGGAGAAAGGCCCTTTGTTCCTTATAATTCTCTTGTGGGTATTATTTCTCTTCTAAATTCCCATTTCTAATTCTGCTCGATTTTAGTGTTTTGTTTTCATTGTCAAAGTTTCTCCTCAGAGGTCCACTAACACAACATGCAATGATCCCTCAAACTAAAAAGATAATATACTTTGAGAAATTTTTGCTTAGGATTTTCTTGATGTAGATCTCAGTATTGACATTGTCAATCTTTAAATTGGAGGCAGGAGCTGGAAGCGGTGGCTCATGCCTGTAATTCTAATGCTTTGGGAGACCAAGGCAGGAGGACCAGGAGTTCGAGGCTACAGTGAATCATGATCATGCCACTGCACTCCAGCCTGGGCAACAGAACAAGGCCTTGTCTCTGAAAATAAATTAATAAATAAAGATGGCCAGGCAGGGTGGCTCACACCTATAATCCCAGCACGTTGGGAGACCGAGGCCAACATATCACTTGAGGTCAGGAGTTCAAGACCAGCCTGGCCAACATGGAGAAACCCCGTCTCTACACAAAATACAAAAATTAGCTGGGCATGATGGTGTGCACCTGAAATCCCAGCTACTTAGGATTCCAAAATGCTGGGATTGCAGGCATGAGCCACCGAGCTCAGCCTTGTGTTTCTTTTTTAAATATTGTCGTTGCTTAATTTAAAAACATGTCAGAAGATTACCTTTAGTTTTTAGTGCTAAACCTTAAATATCCTGATTATTAATTTTGTCATTCTAGTCAGGCATTTTATACCATTAAGGGCTGTTGTTTTAGAATGTTTGGGTAGCTGTTTAGAAGAAAAATATTAAAGGCCGTGCGCGGTGGCTCATACCTGTAATTGCAGCACTTTGGGAGGCTGAGGCGGGCAGATCACGAGGCCAGGAGATCGAGACCATCTTGGCTAACATCGTGAAACCTCGTCTCTACTAAAAATACAAAATATTAGCCAGGTGGGGTGGCGGGTGCCTGTAGTCCCAGCTACTGGGGAGGCTGAGGCAGGAGAATGGCATGAACCCAGGAGGTGGAAGTTGCAGTGAGCTGAAATTGCGCTACTGCACAACAGAGTGAGACACCGTCTCAGGGAAAAAAAAAAAAAAGGAAAAAAAATTAACACTTAGATTACTTTCATTACACCAAAATAAAATTCAGAGAGATGAAGGATTAACATTTAAAAATAAATAAAAGCAGTAAGACAAAACTTGGATGAATATTTTAATTTTGTGATGGGGAAGGCTTGAGTAAACATTTTCCAAAATCTAAATCTAAGTACCATAGAGTTTAGAAAACATTGCTAAATTTGACCACATTGAAATGTTAAACATTTTATGATTAAAAATGTAAACACACATACACATACTGAACCAAGTCACAAAACAGATAACAAACAGAGGTGGGCAGGAATATTTGAAACAGATGTGACAGAAGGTTTCTATAACATACAAAACAACTAATAACCAACAGAAAAAACATCTGTAACCAAATAAAGAAATAGATCGGCCAGGAATGGTGCTCACTCTTGTAATTTCAGCACTTTGGGAGGTCGAGACAGTAGGATCACTTGATTCCAGGAGTTTGTGACCAGCCTGGGCAACAAAGTGAGACCCTATCTCTGCAAAAAAATTTAAAAATTAGCTGGGCATGGTGGCCCACGCCTGTAGTCCCAGGTACTTAGGAGGCCAAGGCATGAGGATTGCTTGAGCCCAGGAGGTCGAGGCTGCAGTGAGCCCTAATTATGCCACCGCACTCTAGCCTGGGCGACAGAAGGAGACCCTGTCTCAGAGAAAGAAAAAAAATAATAAGGGTGAAAGACAAGAAGAGGCAACACAGGCTGAAAAATACAAATTCCCAAACATGAGAAGATGCTTAGCTGCAATGGTATTTAAAGAAGTGTAAATTAAAATCAGTGGAGACTTACGGTTTAACAAGCATACTCTGTTCTGTTCTTTTTTTTTTTTTTTTTTGAGACAGTCTTACTCTGTCACCCGGGCTGGAGTGCAGTGGTGCGATCTCGGCTCACTGCAGCCTCTGCCCCCCAGGCCCAAGCAATTCTCCTGCCTCAGCCTCCTGAGCAACTGGGATTATAGGCGCCCTCCACTATGCCCGGCTAATTTTTGTGTTTTTAGTGGAGGTGGCGTTTCACCTTGTTGGCTGGGCTGATCTCGAACTCCTGACCCGAAGTGATCCACCTTCCTCAGCCTCCCAAAATGCTGGGATTACAGGCGTGAGCCACCGTACCCAGCCTCACTCTGTTCTTTTCTATATATTCTTGCTATTCACTTAATATACTTTGGTTGTTTCCATATATACTTGCTTCCTTGTTTCTAATTTCTATATAATATTTCATTGGTGGAGGCAATGTGTATACATTATATTACTGATGAACATATTTTGTCTTTTGCATTTTTGTATCATTTGTCTACAGTTACTAAAAATTAGCTGGGCATGGTGGCTCATGCCTGTAATCCCAGAACTTTGGGAAGCCAAGGTGGAAGGTGTTGCTTGAGCCCAGGAGTTTGAAACCAGGGTAGGCAATATAGTGAGACCCCGTCTATTTTAAAAATTGTTTTTAAAAAGGAAAAAAAAATCAGTACAAAATTAGACTAACAAAATAAGACTGGTTTTTAAAAATAATTTTTATGAACTTTAACAAAATAGATTTTAAAAGGAATTTTAAAATTTTTCAGATATTTCCTAAATTTCAAATACCTTGTGAACTGTTCTTTAGGAAGTAAGTGGAATGGTAACAGTGTTAACTCATGCAAGACGAGCCCAATTCTTGTCTGAGGGACACCAACATTAAAATTTTTCTGTGGACAAATTTATTTGCATTTTTTTCAGGTGAATGCTTGAGATGCATGTTCTGGAATAACCTTGGTTGCATCCATTTTGCCATGAGCAAGCACAATTTGGGAATATTCTACTTTAAAAAGGCTCTGCAGGAGAATGATAATGTCTGTGCACAGCTCAGTGCAGGTAGCACTGATCCAGGTAAGCCCAGTACTGGGGTCCAGTTTGTATTTACTACATCAGAAAAGCATGATTTAAAAAGCATGAATGTGGTTAAAATACCCACCATATAGGCTTACATATAGTTAACTCTGATCTTACCCAACAAGTTTGGCTCTGGGGATTTTTAATAGATAATGCTACTTTGAATAGCAATAACAAGATGTTAAGAGTAATTTTGAATTTTCCAGAAATTTAAGTTGCATTCCATTTTTCATCGATTTGAAAAAATTCCCTATGGTAGTATTATGTAACAGAATGTTTGATTAGTCACAACATGACTGTGCCAAACTAGGTTTATTATAGTTTTGTTTTTTTTTTTTTTTGAGACAGAGTCTAGCTCTGTCACCCAGCTGGAGTGCAATGGTGCGATTTCAGCTTATTTCAACTTGTGCCTCCTGGGCTCAAGTGACCCTTCCACTTCAGCCTCCTGAGTAGCTGGGACTATAGACACATGCCACTGTACCTGGCTAATTTTTGTGTTTTTTGTAAAGATAAGGTTTCGCTGTGTTGCCCAGGCTGGTTTGGAACTCCTGGGCTTAAGTGATCCTCCCGCCTCAGTCTTCCAAAGTGCTGGAATTACAAGCATGAGCCACTGTGCCTGGCTTATTATAGATTCTTTGCAGAGTTTTACATGTGATACTACTGGCAGCATCTGACAGTCTTTAAGCAATTTCCTCACATTGATCCTTTAATATGCATTATCATATGGATCCTTGATCTGAAATGCCTAAAATCAAACAATTATTTAGCTTTTAAAAATAATAACCTATTTAGGTTGGGTGTGGTGGCTCACGCCTGTAATCCTAGCACTTTGGGAGGCCAAGGCAGGCGGATCACGAGGTCAGGAGTTCGAAACCATCCTGGCTAACACTGTGAAACCCCGTCTCTACTAAAAAATACAAAAAATTTAGCCAGGCATGGTGGCAGGCGCCTGTAGTCCCAGCTACTCGGGAGGCTGAGGCAGGAGAATGGCGTGAACCTGGGAGGCGGAGCTTGCAGTCAGCCGAGATGGCACCATTGCACTCCAGCCTGGGCGACAGAGCGAGACTCTGTCTCAAAAATAATAATAATAATAACCTATTTAATTGATGCCAAATGTATTATAAATCAAGGTTGACTGAAACATTGAATAGATGATAACACATGGCAATAAAATGGTTAACCAAGATGAAATTTTTATTTTATTTTATTTTATTTTATTTTTTTGAGATGAAGTCTCACTCTGTTTCCCAAGCTGGAGTGGCATGATCTTGGCTCACTGCATCCTCCACCTCCCAGGTTCAAGCAGTTTTCCTGCCTCAGCCTCCCAAGTAGATGGGACTACAGGCACGCGCCACCATGCCTGGCTAATTTTTGTATTTTTAGTAGAGACGGGGTTTCACTGTGTTGGCCAGGCTGGTTTTGAACTCCTGACCTTGTAATCCACCCGCCTTGGCCTCCCAAAGTGCTGCACTTTGGGAGGCCAAGGCGGGTGGATTACAAGGTCAGGAGTTGAGCCTGAGGAGTTGAGCTCAGGCGTGAGCCACTGAGCCCAGCCAAAAATTTTAAAAAGTGGAAACTTCATACAGACTCTAAAAATATTGGCTAGGCAAGATGGCTCATGCCTGTAATCCCAACATTTAGGGGAGGCCAAGGTGGATCACTTCAGTCCAGGAGTTCAAGACCAGCCTGGGCAACATAGTGAGACCCCCATCTCTACAAAAATAAAAGTAAAAAATAAAAGAGAATAAAGTAAAAATGTAGAAAAGTAGGATAAGGTTCAAAGGAGTGAGAGTGGGTCCCATCTCTTATCTTTGCCTTCCTGGAGCTTTGTTGCCTGAGGAGCTGGCAAATGAGAAGAGACATCTCTGGCTCTGCCAGTGTAGACAACTGAGATGACTCTGGAGAATATTTGTGGGGTTGAGGACGGAGACCACCATTGTTTTTTTTTTTTTTTTTTTTTTTTGAGACGGAGTCTCGCTCTGTCGCCCAGGCTGGAGTGCAGTGGCGCGATCTCGGCTCACTGCAAGCTCCGCCTCCCGGGTTCACGCCATTCTCCTGCCTCAGCCTCCCGAGTAGCTGGGACTACAGGCGCCCGCCACCTCGCCCGGCTAATTTTTTGTATTTTTAGTAGAGACGGGGTTTCACCGTGTTAGCCAGGATGGTCTCGATCTCCTGACCTTGTGATCCACCCGCCTCGGCCTCCCAAAGTGCTGGGATTACAGGCTTGAGCCACCGCGCCCGGCAAGAGACCACCATTGTTGAGAGCCATTATAACTCAGATCAGGATTATTGGTGTTAAACGTGGTAGTGTCTAAGTACTTAATGGAGTAAATGTTTTCAAGGTTACTATTACTTTAAATCTAATGATGTATTCTTATCTAATTTTTATCACTAGGCAAAAAATTTTCAGGAAGACCCATGTGTACGTTACTAACCAATAAGAGATATGAGTTGCTGTATAACTGTGGAATTCAGCTTCTTCACATTGGAAGGCCTCTTGCTGCCTTCGAATGTCTGATTGAAGCTGTTCAGGTTTATCATGCAAATCCTCGCCTCTGGCTACGGCTGGCTGAATGCTGCATTGCTGCCAATAAGGGGGTGAGTGCTACTTGGGTATCTTTTTGAACCCTATCTTCCCCCAACTTACTACATGGAATGTTAAAGAAAAAAAAAACCTTGGAAACATACATAAGACATCATTCTCTTTTTTTTTTCTTTAATTTTTTTTTTTTGAGACGGAGTTTCTCTCTTGTGCCCAGGCTGGAGTGCAGTGGCACAATCTCAGCTCACTGCAACCTCCACCTCCAGGATTCAAGCGAGTCTCCTGCCTCAGCCTCCCGAATAGCTGGGACTACATACACATGCCACCATGCCCAGCTAATTTTGTGTTTTTAGTAGAGACAGGGTTTCAACATGTTGCCCAGGCTGGTTTTGAACTCCTGACCTTAGGCAGTCCACCCACCTCAGCCTCCCAAAGTGCTGGGATTACAAAGTGCTGGGATTACAGGCATGAAGGTTAAAAAGAGAATGATGATGGTCATTCTTTTCTTTTGATTTCAGTGAAATGTATATGTAGTCTTCCTTAACCACTGGTGAAAAAAAATTTAGTTTCAAAAAGTCATTTGATGGCCGGGCGCAATGGCTCATGCCTGTAATCCAAGCACTTTGAGAGGCCGAGGTGGGTGGATCTCTTGAGCTCAGGAGTTCAAGACCAGACTAGACAACACAGTGAGACACCCACATCTCTACAAAAAATTATTAGGTGTGGCACCGAGTGCCTGTAGTCCCAGCTATTCAAGAGGCCGAGGTGGGAAGATCATTTGAGCCTGGGAGGTGGAGGTTGGAGTGAGACCAGATAGAGCCTCTGTACTCCACCTTAGGCAACCGAGCGAGACTCTGTCTCAAAAAAAATAAAAATGTATAAAGTCATTTGTTAACATTCTCATTCTTGGTAAGTAAGTGTGGCAACATTAAAGAGTTGAAGCCAGTGATAAAGTCATGTATGTTGGAACAGTGGTCTGCTAGCTGCTCCACGGCTCAGGAGCCATGCCATCTGCTGGCGTAAGCATAGTGTTGTGGCCGGGCGCGGTGGCTCAAGCCTGTAATCCCAGCACTTTGGGAGGCCGAGACGGGCGGATCACGAGGTCAGGAGATCGAGACCATCCTGGCTAACCCGGTGAAACCCCGTCTCTACTAAAAAAATACAAAAAATTAGCCGGGCGAGGTGGCGGCGCCTGTAGTCCCAGCTACTCGGGAGGCTGAGGCAGGAGAATGGTGTGAACCCGGGAGGCGGAGCTTGCAGTGAGCTGAGATCTGGCCACTGCACTCCAGGCTGGGCGACAGAGCCAGACTCCATCTCAAAAAAAAAAAAAAAAAGAATAGTGTTGTGTAGCCTGATAATTAGAAAAGGTCTGATAATTCAATGTGGAAAGAACTGCATTTTCTTCAATGCCTGAGGGTTTTACTTTGGTTTCAGTAAATGATACAGAGTTTATGGATTACACGAGGCTGTTTCTCTCTGACACATGATTGCCCGTGGTAGCTATGTGAATAGGCCAGTTTACATTGATGTCCATGCTTAGATTATCTCCAAATGGCAGTTGGTGGAAGCTTTTTGAATTTCAATTTGGGAGGGATCAATAGGAGATAGGGGAAAGATGAGTTGTATCAGAATTACCAGATGTGTGTATCTTCCATTTGCTACCCCACCCCCTGCCCTTGCTGTGAAACATTGGGAAGATATGATACCTGGAGGTTTTACCTTGCATGCCTGCCATAGGTGATGTTGAGGCTCTCCTGCTGCACAGCAGTTTCTGAGAAGTACAAGAACTAAGGGGATTAAAGAAGTGTGTTTGCTAGTTTTCATACATGGTACTTAGGTAGTTTATGATTTGAGTATACCAATAGAGGAAGAGATGAGTGATTTGTCTTTCAAAGACTTTAATTATTTAATTATAGTTTGCTTTTTAAAAGACAACTTACTTTTTTTTTTTTTTTTGAGACAGAGTTTTGCTCTTTTTGCCCAGGCTAGAGTGCAATGGCGCGATCTCGGCTCACCGCAACCTCCGCCTCCCGGGTTCAAGCGATTCTCCTGCCTCAGCCTCCCAAGCAGCTGGGATTACAGGCATGTGCCACCACCCCGGCTAATTTTGTATTTTTAGTAGAGACGGGGTTTCTCCATGTTGGTCAGGCTGGTCTTGAACTCCCGACCTCAGGTGATCCACCTGCCTCGGCCTCCCAAAGTGCTGGGATTACAAGCGTGAGCCACCGCGCCCAGCAAGACAACTTTCTTATTGGTTAATTCTTAACTGATAAACAGTTCTAGGTAGAATTTATACTTCTTAAAGATAAAAGAAGCAAATAGAAATTGCCTATTCTCTTTAATCTGTTTATAAATTTAAGTGTTGGGGGCCTTTCTTTGGTATTTACTGGAAACCAGGGAGTTACTTTTTTCTGGGAAAAGAAAAAAGTAACTCCCTGATTTTGTAAAGTTCAATATTTTCTTTTTAAATTAACTGGTTTTAGAAATAGTACTTTTGGGATTGTGTTTGTTCTACAGAAGCCATTGAGCTTATGAGGTCTCCCCCCCTTTCCCCTAGAGGAGAAGGAGCGGGAGGGGAGGATAAGTATTTTCCATATTAATATGCTGCTAGTCCTGTTTTTTTTTTTTCTAGAAAAGTTGTAAATTTGTAATTTTTTAAAAATGGTAAAGATGACTTTTGATTGCCATAACTTCATGAACACACAAAATTTGTGCTGCTAATAGGAAACTTGCCACCAGTAATATCTTTGACTGTGCTTTTCCTCCTAAAAAAAAACTTTAGGGTAACCTAAAAAACAGTAAAAACAAGCCCAAAACACTAATAAAATCAGAGGACAAATCTCAACAGGAGTAACTGTAAACTCCAAATAAAATTTCATAAAATTTGTTAAGTCAGGACAGGAGGTATGCTGAACAAAGCAGTTTGTACCTTCAGAAATAAATTCATTTTGGATTTTAAAAAATTAACTTGTTTATGCTAAGGAGGACATTTTGTCCTGAATATCTGGTACGTATTATTTTAGACTTGGCAGAGGCAAGGCTTGTGTTTACCTGGGCAGTGTATAATATATGGGAAAAGATCTGCTAAACAAAAATAGTCTCAGTATTTTAATTTTGTATGATCCTTTTACCTTAAAACTGATCTGGCACACTTTCTGGCTATCGGTGATTGAAGGTATGGATTATTGTACGTTTTTTAGTTCCGAACATTCTACCATGGGCCAGTTTGTTTTCATCTGTTACATCTTCAGATCTGGCCATTTGGATCAGTTAGCAATAAGTGGCCTTAGCAATAAGACAAGAGAATATAGATGAATCAATGTAAATTTATCACCACGACTAGGAAAATAAGTCAGAATGGAAGTCCTCACAATAATAGTTTAAAATATCCACTTTTTCATTAACATTGCATGGCATTCTCTATACACAACTAGTTTTGATCAGAGCAGTTTTATTGTATTTTTTTAGCACTGTGTAGTATGTTCTTTATTAAAAGTCATGTATGGAAGTGCGACTATAATAAGTTACATTCAGAAGCAATAAGTAACAGTACAAAAACATTTGTGTTTAGAGAAAAGACTTTGCAGGGCAGAGATTAGTTTTGCAAATTCATATTGACTGACTCCAGTTTGTTCTGGTATGTGGTAATTTGGATGTCATTATAAGATAACTACTTGGAGGCCGGGCGCGGTGGCTCAAGCCTGTAATCCCAGCACTTTGGGAGGCCGAGACGGGCGGATCACGAGGTCAGGAGATCGAGACCATCCTGGCTAACTCGGTGAAACCCCGTCTCTACTAAAAAATACAAAAAGCTAGCCAGGCATGGTGGCGGGCACCTGTAGTCCCAGCTACTTGGGAGGCTGAGGCAGGAGAATGGCGTGAACCCGGGAGGCGGAGCTTGCAGTGAGTTGAGATCCGGCCACTGCACTCCAGCCTGGGTGACAGAGCAAGACTCCGTCTCAAAAAAAAAAAAAAGATAACTACTTGGGATTCCACCTGCAGGTAAATTAGAGACTTGTTTTATTTTTCAAACAGGGTCTCACTCTGTCACTCAGGCTAGAGTGCAGTGGCGTGATCATGGCTCACTGCAGCCTCGACCTCCTTGGTGTCAAGTGATCTTCCCACCTCAGCTTCCCTAGTAGCTGGGGCATGCATGACCACACCTGGCTAATTTTTGTATTTCTTTGTAGAGATGGAGTTTCACCACATTACCCACACTGGTCTCAAGTTCCTGGGCTCTAGCGATCCACCTGCCTCAGCCTCCCAAAGTGCTAGGATTACAGGTGTGAGCCACCTTGCCCAGCTTAGTTTTATTTTTTAAATTAAAAAAGATTTGGCCTGGAGTGGTGGTTCATGCCTGTAATCCCAGCACTTTGGGAGGCTGAGGTGGGTGGATCAGGAGGTCAGGAGATCAAGACCATCCTGGCTAACATGGTGAAACCCCGTCTCTACTAAAAATACAAAAAATTAGTTGGATGTGGTGGCACCCACCTGTAGTCCTAGCTACTTGGGAGGCTGAGGCAGGAGAATTGCTTGAACCCGGGAGGCAGAGGTTGCAGTAAGCCAAGATAACACTACTGCACTCCAGCCTGGGTGATAGAATGAGACTCCTTCTCAAAAAAAAAAAAAAATTAAAAAGGTTTTTCGGGGCCGGGCACAGTGGCTCATGCCTGTAATCCCACCACTTTGGGAGGCCAAGGTGGGCAGATCATGAGATCAGGAGATCCAGACCATCCTGGCTAACACGGTGAAACCCCATCTCTACTAAATATACAAAAAAATAGTCGGGCGTGGTGGCGAGCGCCTGTAGTCCCAGCTACTCGGGAGGCTGACGCAGGAGGATGGCGTGAATCCAGGAGGCGGAGCTTGCAGTGAGCCAAGATTGTGCCACTGCACTCCAGCCTGGGCGACAGAGCTGGACTCTCTAAAAAAAAAAAAAAAAAAAAATTTCGGGCCAGGCACAGTGGCTCACGTCTGTAATCCCAACACTTTGGGAGGCCGAGGCGGGTGGATCACAAGGTCAGGAGTTCAAGACCAGCGTGGCCAACATGGCCAACAACTCTAAAAAAAATACAAAAATTAGCTGGGCACAGTGGTGCACGCCTGTAGTCCCAGCTGCTCGGGAGGCTGAGGCAGCAGAATTGCTTGAACCTGGGAAATGGAGGTTGCAGTGAGCCGAGATTGCGCCACTGCACTCCTGCCTGGGCAACAGAGTGATACTCCATCTCAATAATAATAATAATAATAATAATAATAATAAAAAGATTTTTCCTGGCTGGACATGGTAGCTCACACCTGTAATCTCAGTACTTTGGGAGGCCGAGGCGGGTAGATCACTTGAGGTCAGGAGTTTGAGACCAGCCTGGCCAACATGGTGAAACCCTGTCTCTACTAAAATACAAAAATTAGCCGGGTGTGGTGACAGGCGCCCGTAATCCTAGCTACTCGGGAGGCTGAGGCAAGAGAATCACTTGAACCCAGGAGGTGGAGGTTGCAGTGAACTGAGACTACACCACTGCACCCAACCCTGGGCGACAGAGTGAGACTCTGTCTTAAAAAAAAAGAAAAAAAAAAATTTCCAGCCTCGGCAACTTGGCAAAACCCTGCCTCTAAAAAAATAAATAGAAAAATTAGCTGGTCATGGTGGCACGCACCTGTACCTGTAGTCCCAGCTACTTGAGAAGGTGAAGCAGGAGGATCGCTTGAGCCCAGGAGGTAGAAGTTGCAGTGAGCCGAGATCATGCCATTGTACTCCATCCTGGGCAACAGAGCTAGACCTTGTCTTTAAAAAAAAAAGAAAGGAGAAAAAAAAAGGTAGATACAGGGTCTTACTATGTTGCCCAGGCTGGTCTGGAACTCCTGGTTTCAAGTGATCCTCCTGCCTCAGCTTCCCAAAGGGCTGGGATTACAGGCATGAGCCACTGCACCCAACCAAATTAGAGGCTTAGAATGAAGGGGGGTGATAAATGAAATTATCACTGTGAGCTCTGTCGTGAGATAATATATCTTAATCAGATATCCTAAAGCAACTATGTATGTGTAAGTAGCTTTTATTATTTTCAGTTTAATATTTATTCATTTGGTTTGGGGATTTTAATGTCCTAAAAGGCAAGTATTGTGTCCATGTAAATTTTTACCATATACAGCTTATTAAAGTTTATATATTGTTGACAATGTAATTAATACTTTGAATTAAGAAGGAAATGATCTGTGTTTTAGGAAGTGGAGCTGCTTCACTTTTCTTTTACACTGTATTTTAGGCTCTCATTTTCCTTACTCTGATGTCAAAGTACCTGTAATATGTAGCATGGCACTGGAGGTATAGAATATTCTAAGTAAATAATTCTGAATAAATTTTGGGGACATAATTGAATTGGATTTTGTTCTTAGAATTTTCTCCAATCTCATGTAAACAAAATGTAGCATATATCCCAGATTTTCAGCCTTACGTACTTTTTCCACTAATACCAAACATGTTTCCATTATCACCAAAAAAAGTCCTCGTTGATTTTAAGAACTTTCTTAAATTTAGAGTAATTGTGAGAGGTATTCCCCCATTTTTTATACCACATCTTACAATTCCCTAGAATTTACTGGAAATTATTTGTATTTTGTAGACCTCTGAACAAGAAACTAAAGGCCTTCCCAGCAAAAAAGGAATTGTACAGTCTATTGTTGGTCAAGGCTATCATCGTAAAATAGTTTTGGCATCACAGTCTATACAGAATACTGTTTATAAGTAAGTATTTTGCAAAGAAAAAGTATATATATTTAATACTAGTTTACATAATGTTACTTGTATATAAAAGTATGCTTAGGATTTATCATTGCATAGGAGTACCCACTTTGTAACTAGGCTTATTGCTATTTCAACAAACAGACCCTCACGTATAGGTCCATAGTGAATGTTATCTAACGTGATTTTGGTTTATTACATCCATGGGTACTGTAATTATTGATGGCCTAGGAAACCCTAGTCTGTTGAGTGCCATTATTAAGAATGTCCAGAAGAGGGCATCTTGGTATCTCCTTTTTATGTAGTTTTGGTTATCATTGATACTTTTCATTTAGGTATTTTCTTATAGTTCCCTAGGACTGAAAATACATGAAAGTGAATTCTTACTATTGGAAGAAAAAAGGTGTATGAAAACATAAAGCAACCAAAGCAGTATAGAAGCTGCAACATGTATAACGTTCGTTTGACAATTTGGAATTGCCATTATTTGTAAAGTGGCAAACTTTGCAAATAATTAACTGCCTTAATTTGTTTTTGTCAAAGAACAAAATTGTTCTCTGCCATTTAAAAGTGTTTCCAAAGTATAGAAAATATCTGATACACGATAATTTAGTCTTAATTTAGTTAAACTATGATGCAGGAATATTTTTTAAAACTATTATGATAAAGCATTTCAAAGTTTTAAAGCCATTTCAAAGTTGTTACTACTTTTCAAAATTTTGTTTTTCCCTAATAAAGATTCTATTTGGGCATATCAAACCAACAGAAAGTTGTATAAAGTGTCAATGAAATTATAAGACAAAAAGTAATGTTGCTGTTTCAAAGTGTATAGAGGCATTTTTGAAAGCAAGGATCAACCAAAGTAAGGCTCAAGTGTGAAAATCTATTTTCTTCCCTTTCATCCCATTCTTAATATACCGCTCCTTGCCCTCATTACAGTTGCCCTTGTCTGCAGTTTCTCTAGTATGTTAACATTAACATTGTGTACATCAAATTGTTTCTCCTTGGTCTCATTCCTAGAGACACAGTGTATGTAATTTATATACTTGCAACCCATTATTTATACTATTTGCAACCTATACTTAGGATTTGGGTTATTTAGCATGCTTTTACAACTGCTTATGTTAAAATTTCTACCTATTAAAAGGCATAGCTTTCATTTATTATCGATTGGTTTTATTCCTCATAATAAAAAAGCCTTATTTTAAAATATTTTATCCACTTAGCTAATTTGGTTTTGTTCTTTTAAGTGATGGGCAGTCTTCGGCCATTCCTGTAGCCAGTATGGAGTTTGCAGCCATATGTCTCAGAAATGCCTTGTTGCTGCTACCTGAAGAACAGCAAGATCCAAAGCAGGAAAATGGGGCTAAAAATAGTAATCAATTAGGTGGGAACACAGAGAGCAGCGAAAGCAGTGAAACTTGCAGGTATTCTAATCCTTGTGACCTCCCTTGGCAAAATCCTTTCAGGACTTCTTTAGTAAACCCTTTTGTTCTTTAAGTAAATTCCTAAATTCTTCAACCTAAATTTCTGAAATTCTCTGTTTTGCATAACAAGAAAGGAAAGCATTTATGTTTCTAAGTCTTTCTGGAAGAGAGAAGTAAGGTGAAGGCTAAGTTAGGAGAGATCCTTGAAAAAGAAAAGTAGAAAGTAGCAGTTTTGGCCGGATGCAGTGGCTCATGCCTATAAAAGGCTGAGGCAAGAGAATTGCTTGAACCCAGGAGGCAGCAGTTGTAGTGAGCCGAGATTGTGCCACTGCTCTCCAGCTTTGGCGACAGAGTGAGACTTCATCTCAAAAAAAAAAAAAAAAAAGGAAGTATCAGCTTTTCATTGACAACGGGGATATTTGTAAGAAGTCCTGTTGTCAGACAGCTTTAAAAAAAAAAAAATTGACCAGGTGTGGTGGCTCATGCCTGTAATCCCAGCACTTTGGGAGGCCAAGGTGGGTGGATCACTTGAGGTTAGGAGTTGAAGACTAGCCTGGCCAACATGGGGAAACCCCGTCTCTACTAAAACTACAAAAATTGGGCCTGGTGGCGGGTACCTATAATCCCAGCTACCAGGGAAGCTGAGGCAAGAGAATCACTTGAACCCGGGAGGCAGAGGTTGCAGTGAGCCAAGATCATGTCACCGCACTCCAGCCTGGGTGACAGAATGAGACTCCGTCTCAAAAAAACAAAAAATTTGTTAAAATACACACTTAACTCCTAAAGCTGCTCATAGTTCTTATTATATTCTGCCTGTCCTCTTAATATAATATAATCACTAACCTCCAGAATATTTTTGTATGTTTCTGGTTTTCTAGTATAAATTCAAAATTATGCAAATCTGGGCAGGGTACTGGAGGAGGCCAAGAGTTAAGTCTAACCTGGGCAGCATAGCAAGACCCCATCTCTTCAAAAAAAATGTAAAATAAATAAAAATTATGTGACTCTATAGAAATTGGGAGAACTTTGTAAGGACAAAACAACATTTTATATATAGGAAATTCTGCTTTTTTTCTTTCTTTTGTTTGTTTGTTTGTTTGTTTGAGACAGAGTCTCCCTCTGTCACCTAGGCTGGAATGCAGTGGCACGATCTCAACTCACTGCAACCTCCGCCTCACAGGCTCAAGCGATTCTCCTGCCTCAACCCCCTAAGTAGCTGGGATTATAGGCACAGTGCCACTATGCCCGGCTAATTTTTGTATTTTTAGTAGAGATAGGGTTTTGCCACATTGTCCAGGACAGTCTTGAACTCGTAACCTCAAGTGATCCACCCTCCTCAGCCTCCCAAAGTGCTGAGATTGCAGGCATGAGCCACTACACCCAGCCGGAAATTCTGTTTTTTATACATGGCATCTTTAAACTTACGTCTCACATCCCAGCGTTTTTTCTTGATTATAATAGCAGTCGATACATGTTTACTATAAAAAATTTAGGCTGGGCATGATGGCTTACACCTGTAATCCCAGTGCTAAGGGAGACCAAGGCTAAAGGATTGCTAGAGGCTAGGAGTTCGAAGCCAGCCTGTCCAACATAACGAGACCCCATCTCTACAAGAAATAAAAAAATTAGCTGAGTGTGGTGCCGGGCACCATTAGTCCCAGCTACTTGGGAAGCTGACGTAGGAGGATTGCCTGAGCCCAGGAGTTTGAAGCTGCAGTGAGCTATGATGATGCCACACTGCACTCCAGCCTGGGCAACAGAGTCTCAAAAACCCAGTCTCAAGAAAAGGTGGGGTTGGGAGGGGTAAGGGGAATTAGAATAATGAGAAATGTGTGAAAGTTTTGAGTTATTTCCTTTATGTAGTAAAGATACTGTTTTCAGTTAGAGATTTTTTTTTTTTTTTTTTTTTTTGAGATGGAGTCTCGCTCTGCTGCCCAGGCTGGAGTGCAGGGGCCAGATCTCAGCTCACTGCAAGCTCCGCCTCCCGGATTTACGCCATTCTCCTGCCTCAGCCTCCCGAGTAGCTGGGACTACAGGCGCCCGCCACGTCGCCCGGCTAGTTTTTTGTATTTTTTAGTAGAGACGGGGTTTCACCATGTTAGCCAGGATGGTCTCGATCTCCCGACCTCGTGATCCGACCGTCTCGGCCTCCCAAAGTGCTGGGATTACAGGCTTGAGCCACCGCGCCCGGCTTCAGTTAGAGATTTTTTAAAGCAGTGTTGGGGGGCAAAGAAACTAAATATGCAATATAGCTTTTTTTTTTTTTTTTTGAGACAGAGTCTCGCTCTGTCGCCCAGGCTGGAGTGCAGTGGCTGGATCTCAGCTCACTGCAAGCTCCGCCTCCCGGGTTCACGCCATTCTCCTGCCTCAGCCTCCCGAGTAGCTAGGGCTACAGGCACCCGCCACCTCGCCTGGCTAGTTTTTTTGTATTTTTTTAGTAGAGATGGGGTTTCACCATGTTAGCCAGGATGGTCTCGATCTCCTGACCTCGTGATCCGCCCGTCTCGGCCTCCCAAAGTGCTGGGATTACAGGCTTGAGCCACTGTGCCCGGCCCAATATAGCTTTAACATGTTAGTGTTACCAAATTACTAAGCATTTCCATTGTTTAACTTTTTTACACTTTTGTTGTAAAAAGTTACATGGGAGGCAGGGTGAGGTGGATCATCCCTGTAAATCCCAGCACTTTGGGACGCCAAGGTAGGTGGGTCACCTGAGTTCAGGAGTTCAAGACCAGCCTGGCTAACATGGTGAAACACCGTTTCTACTTAAAATACAAAAAATTAGCTGGGTGTGGTGGTGCATGCCTGTAATCCCAGCTACTCGGGAGGCTGAGGCAAGAGAATCACTCGAACCTGGGAGGCAGAAGTTGCAGTGAGCCGAGATCGTGCAATTGCACTCCAACCTGAGCAACAAGAGCAAAACTGTCTCGAAAAAAGAAAAAGAAAAGTTGGGAGTAAGGATAGGGAAACAAAATTTTACATTTAATTTTTTATTTGTTGCTCTTCATAATTAAGACTCTTACCTCTATTTTAGCAGTAAAAGCCATGATGGAGATAAATTCATTCCAGCTCCACCTTCTTCTCCACTGAGAAAACAGGAATTAGAAAACTTAAAGTGAGTATCTAAACAAAATTAGCATTGCATCTATTGAAATGAACACATTCATGGCTGGGCATAGTGGCTCACACCTGTAATCCCAGCACTTTGGGAGGCCCAGGCTGGTGGATCACTAGGTCAGGAGTTCAAAACCAGCCTGGCCAAGATAGTGAAACCCTGTCTGTACTAAAAATACAAAAATTAGCTGGGCATGGTGGCGGGCGCCTGTAATCCCAGTTACTTGGGAGGCTGAGGCAATAGAATTGCTTGAACCCGGGAGGCAGAGGTTGCAGTGAGTGTGTCACTGCACTCTAGCCCGAGCAACTCTATCTCAAAACAAAAGAAATGAACACATTCTTTTTTATCTTGTTTATACTGTTAATATGATGAATTACACTGATCAAATATTAAACTAATCTTTCAATCTTGTGATAAACCCTACTTGGTCAGAATGTATTTCCTTTTGTATAAATTTTTAGATTTGATTTGTTAATACTTCATTGGGAATAAGTGCTTCTATATTCATGAGGAAGATTGGTCCATACTTTTCTTTCCTTGAAATTATTTTGTCAGATTTGGTTTCAGGATTATGCTGACCATATAAATGAGTTGAGAAGTACTTCATCTTCCTCTGTTTTCTGCAAGAGTCTGTGTAAGATAGGTATTACTCATGGACACGAAGAGGGGAACAACGGGCACTGGGGCCTCCTGGAGGGTGGAGGATGAGAGAGGATCAGAAAAAATAACTGTTGGGTACTAGGCTTAGTACCTGGGTCACGAAATAATCTGTACAACAAACCCCCATGACATAAGTTTACTGTATAACAAACCTGCACATGTACCCCTGAACTAATAAAAAGGACAGGTATTACTTCTTCCCTAAGTATTTGATAGAATTCACCAGTGAAACCATCCAGCCTAGGATATTCCTTGCTGGAAAATTTTTGATAATGAATTCAACTTGTTCAACAGAACACTTTTTTCAGATTTTGTATTTCATCTTTTTTTTTGAGATGGAGTCTCGCTCTGTCGCCCAGATTGGAGTGCAGTGGTACAATCTCGGCTCACTGCAAGCTCCGCCTCCTGGGTTCACACCATTCTCCTGCCTCAGCCTCCCAAGTAGCTGGGACTACAGGCACCCGCCACCACGCCTGGCTAATTTTTTGTATTTTTAGTAGAGATGGGGTTTCACCATGTTAGCCAGGATGGTCTTGATCTCCTGACCTCGTGATCTGCCCACCTTGGCCTGCCAAGGTTTGGGGATTACAGGCCACGCGCCTGGCCTGTATTTCATCTTATCTCAGTTTGGTTAAGTTTTATTTTTCAAGGAATTTTCCAAGTTGTCAAATTTATTGGACTAACATTGTTCATAATATTGTTTTACCTTTTTAATGTCTGTAGAATCTACAGTTATACCTCTATTTTCTTTCTTTTTTTCTTTTTTTTTTTTTCGAGATGGAGTTTCACTCTTTGTCCCAGGCTGGAGTGCAGTGGTGTGATCTCGGCTCACTGCAACGTCTGCCTGCTGGGTTCAAGCGATTCTCCTGCCTCAGCTTCCCAAGTAGCTGGAATTACAGGTGCCTGCCAGCACGCCTGCGTAAATTTTTGTATTTTTAGTAGAGGCGGAGTTTTACCATGTTGTTGGCCAGGCTGATCTCAAACTCCTGACCTCAGGTGATCCACCCGCCTCAGCCTCCCAGAGTTCTGGGATTATAGGCATGAGCCACTGCGCCCAGCCAATTTTCATATGTGATATTTGTGGGATCTCTCGCTTTCTCTTCTTTCCTAAGCAATTCCGCTAGCGATTTACATATTGGATTGATGTTTTCAGAGAATAGACTTGTACTTCATTTTCTGTTTTCTCTTTCATTTCTGCTCTTTATTTTATTTTTCTACTAACTGTGAGTTTATTTTGCTCTTTTTTTAGCTTCTTATGCTGGTCACTGATTTTTAGATGGTCCTTTTCTACACAGTTCCCTTTAAGCCTGCTGTGACTTCATTCCACAAATAATTAGTTATGTTTTATTTGTTTATTTGACTCCATGGTGTCTTTTTTTAAAAATTAAACTTCATTTAGAGACGATTGTAGATTCACACATAGTCTATTGTAGATTCACATATAGTCTAAAAAGCAATACAGAAGCCTGGGCAACATAGTAAGACTCTGTCTCTAAAAAAATCAAAAAACTAGGCTGGGTGCGGTGGTTCACGCCTGTTATCCCAGCACATTGGTGGGATGCCGAGGCAGGTGGATCAGCTGAGGTCAGGAGTTCGAGACCAGCCTGGCCAACACAGTGAAACCCCATCTCTACTGAAAATACAAAAGTTGACCGGGCGTGGTGGCAGGTGCCTGTAATTCTAGCTACCTGGGAGGCTGAGGGAGGAGAATCGCTTGAGCCCGGTAGGCAGAAGTTGCAGTGAGCCAAGACCACACCATTGCACTCCAGCCTGGGCAACAAGAGTGAAACTCCATCTCAAAAAAGAAAGGAAAAAAGAAAAAAAAGTATCTGGGCATGATGTTGCATGCCTGTGGTTCCAGGTAGCTGGGAGGCTGAGGTAGGAGGATCACTTTAAGCCCTGGAGGTCATGACTGCAGTAAGCTGTGATTATACCACCAAACTCCAGCATGGATGACAGATAGAGGCTCTGTCTCTAAAAATAAAAATAATATAGAGACCTAATCTACCCTTTACCCAGTTTCCCCAAAGGTAACTTCTTACAGAACTTTAGTACTTGATGGGCGTGGTGGCTCATGCCTATAATCCCAGCACTTTGGGAGGCCATGGTGGGTGGATCATGAGGTCAGGAGTTCAAGACCAGCCTGACCAATATGGTGAAACCCAATCTCTACTAAAAATACAAAAATTAGCCAGGTGTGGTGGTGCACGCCTGTAGTCCCAGCTACTCGGGAGGCTGAAGCAGGAGAATTGCTTCAACTGGGGAGGCGGAGGGAGGTTTCAGTGAGCCAAGATTGTGCCACTGCACTCCAGCCTGGGCGACAGACTCCGTCTCAAAACAAAACAAGAACTTTAGTACAATATCACAGTCAGGATATTAACATTGATACAGTCAAGATACAGAACTTTTTTTGTTTGTTTTACAATATTTTCATTACATTCAATTTCTTAAAAACTTTGTGGCCAGGCGTGATGGCTCACGCCTGTAATCCCAGCACTTTGGGAGGCCGAGGTGAGCGGATCACGAGGTCAGGAGATCAAGACCAGCCTGGCCAACATAGTGAAATCCCATCTCTACTAAAAATACAAAAATTAGCCGGGCATGGTGGCGTGCACCTGTAGTCCCAGCTAACTCCGGAGGCTGAGGCAGGAGAACCTTTTGAACCCTGGAGGCAGAGGTTGTGGTGAGCTGAAATCGCGCCACTGCACTCCAGCCTGGGCAACAGAGCAAGACTCCGTCTCAAAAAAAAAAAAGAAAAAAGAAAAGAAAGAAAGAAAAAGAAACGAAACTGCCAAACTCTTTTAACAGAGTGACTGTACCATTTTACATTTCCACCAGGGATGTATAAGTGATCCAGGTTCTCTACCACAATATTTCATATTTTCTTTTTTAAAAAAATTATTTTTTCATCACATACTTGTTTTGATATTTGTGTGTGTTGTAGGTACTTTTTTTTTTTTTCGCCAGGCTGGAGTACAATAGCGTGATCTCGGCTCACTGCGGCCTCCACCTCCTGGGTTCAAGCAGTTCTCCTGCCTCAGCTTCCCGAGTAGCTAGGACTACAGATATGCACCACCACGCCCAACTAATTTTTGTATTTTTAGTAGAGACGGGGTTTCATCATGTTGGCCAGGATGGTCTCTTGACCTCTCAATCCACCCGCCCTGGCCTCCCAAAGTGCTGGGATTACAGGCATGAGCCACCGCACCCGGCCTCTTGTAGGCACTTTTTACTTTACTCATTCTAATAAGGAAATAAGATGTGTAGTGCTATCTCATTGTGATTTTTATTTGCATTTCTCTAATGAACTTTTTTTTTTTTTTGTGAGACGGACTCTCGCTCTGTCCCCCAGGTTGGAGTGCAGTGGCGCGATCTCAGCTCACTGCAAGCTCCGCCTCCCAGGTTCACGCCATTCTCCTGCCTCAGCCTCCTGAGTAGCTGGGACTACAGGCTCCCGCCACCACGCCCGGCTAATTTTTTGTATTTTTAGTAGAGACAGGGTTTCACCGTGGTCTCGATCTCCTGACCTTGTGATCCGCCCGTCTCGGCCTCCCAAAGTGCTGGGATTACAGGCGTGAGCCACTGCGCCCAGCCATGAACTTCTTTTTATGTGGTATAGCTTTTCGTTTTGTTTTTGTGTGTTGTCATTGTTGTTGCTGTTGTTCTGAGACCGAGTCTCGCTGTATTGCCCAGGCTGGACTGCAATGGCAGGATCTCAGCTTACTGCAACCTCCGCCTCCCAGGTGCAAGCAACTCTCATGCCTCAGCCTCCTGAGTAGCTGAGATTACAGGCATGTGCCGCCACACCCGGCTAATTTTTGTATTTTTGGTAGAGACGGGGTGTCACCATGTTGGTCTGCTGGTCTCAAACTCCTGAGCTCAAGTGATCTGCCCGCCTCAGCCTCCCATAGTGCTGGGATTATAGGCGTGAGCCACCACATCTGGCCTTTACCAGTAATTTTGTAGTCTGTACACTGCTCTGTACCTTACTTTATTCCCATATCAGCATAAACCTTTGTTTCACTCTTTCTCATGGGTGCCTAGAGTTGCATTTTGTGGATATGATCTAATTTGTCTAACATTGCTTTTTATTGAGCTGTTTATAATGTTTTCAGTTTTTGCTGTTACAAATAATGCTGCAGTTAAGTATGGTTATACACATTTAAAGGGAATCCTTAATGAAGAAGACATTTGAAACAGTTTTTTAAACTTGATTTAATTTTTACAGGTTTACTTGAATGAATACTAATCTTTTTTTTTTTTTTTTTTTTGAGATGGATTTTTGCCCTTGTACCCCAGGCTGGAGTGCAATGGCGTATCTTGGCTCACTGCAACCTCCG